GTTCTTTTAACAGCATAACCGGAAGCTCCAGAGTGTAAATCCATCACAAACGAGAAGCCATTGGAACCAGTGTGATGGTACACAGTGAAAAAATTTCCTCTGTCATTGACTGACAGGTTGTTGACCCCAAAAAATAAGTCCCTGCTTTGAAACCAACACCTACTTAGCAAAGCTAAGTTTTGCAGCTGCCCTCCTGGGTAAGCCAAATGCCTTCTGGGGAAATGTTGCAGCAACGCCATTGTTGCTCCCCCTTTCACCATCTGAGCTCCAACAGCCCCATTGGTGAAATCAAAATGCAAACAGCAAAGTCCCTTTTAGCTTTCAATAACCTCTCTTGTTTGTTAGTCCATCTGCAAATTTAAACACGATGTAGAAGGTGAAATATTCAGTCTATCAGCACTAATCTGATTGGATCACTTCACTAAAGTATCATAGATGTGACTGTATTAGTTGTAGTTCAGTAAAAGATTGTAAATTTACAAAGTTTTACAATCAAAGGAGAGAGAAAGCCATGTTGTCGGAGCTAAAGGTTTTTGGAATGACTATGACCTGGATGACCGAGAATCTTCACCAGCACAAAGGATGGAAAAAAATTGTTGATCGAAATAAACAATTTTTTAAAGCAAATGTTGCCTCGATTCTCGGAAACAAAAGAAGCGGATTTTGGTTACATTTACAGTCAGTTTTGAAGTTGTTAATACTTTAAATGACTTTTACTGTTTCTGTTAAGAGTGCTTATCTATCTAAAGATGTGAAATAAACCCCAGACAATAATGCTGATACATCAACATACATTTTTCACTTTTTAACTGGGCTAATTCACGTTTTTAAAAAGCTTTTTTCTTTTTTTCTTGGCTTATTAAGTTTTTAACTTAACTTTTAACGTAGTAACATTTCACATACAATAGACAGCATTAGATTACTGCTGGTATTCTATAAAGCAGTTATACTCAGCTTGAAGACAGAGCTGGATCTAGCCGACCTTGCGAATCACATCTCATAATTTTGCCTTGTTTGCTGCAAAGAGGTGTTTATATTGAAGTTCCCAAAAATTGTAACTTTGACAATAAAGGGTTAAGGTATTTGAAAGATTTAGGATATTATTCATGTTGTTTATTTTGTGTGGAATGGAGAAAAATCACAATAAATGCAAAACTTGTCGGTCAAAAATGACCGGTGAATAGAATATTTGTTCTTTGAACATTTAAAGTAGAGAATTTTTAGAAAATAAAAAAAACATCAAATGATACATACAATAGATATAAATATGAACAAATTAACATGAAAGAAAGGAAAAAGAATTTATAACCTTTAATTTCTTTAGAGAAAAAAATTAG